TGGATATATTATACTTACCTTAGAAAGGCGTAGAAGGATAAGTTCGGGATGGGCCTATAACCTGAATCCATTACATAGTCTTTGTTTTTGAATTATGTCTAGACTTTCGTGAATATCTAGAAATCTACAATTATTCACAAACTTAACTAATTTCAAAAAGTTTACGTCTATTCTGTGGTCATTTTCGAAAATATGTTGAGCTGATTTTCAAACAATACGAATTTGAAGTTAGCTATTTATATGCTGTTTGAATTGCCTGATAATTGACCAATATATTATTAATTACAATATTCACACATATTAATTACATAAATCCCCGACTTTTCATTAGTTTTTAATATATTTTGTGGTCGAGTGGCCTCATAATTCCCCTTTGACGCATCGAAAATCATTTATAATCTGTCACATTACGACACGATTTCAGTTTATGGCACGATTTATAGTGCCATAAAGCGGTGTAATGAAAACAAAATACCATACGGATTTTTCACAAAACAATGGAATTGTTTAAAAAAAAACGTCATAGCAACCGACATAAATTATTGTCATTTGTATTTTTATTAAGGTGCAAATAAAAGTGAGATTTTGAAATTAAAACTGATGGTCTATTACCGCTACTTTCAACCACAAAATGAAATATGTTATTCGTTTATAATGCAGGATTATGGCACTCATGAAATTATCGCATTTACTTCGCTCATGCCCTAAACTTTCATTCGTGCCATAATCCTTTGCACTATAAACTAATATCCTAACATACCATTATTGATTATTATCTTACAAACTTTTTCAGAAAAGAGGTTCCTATTGCATTAGTGGAAAAATAGATTAATACTCCTAATAAATTAAAATTAAGGCTGTCCGTGTGCTATTAAACATGTTATTTAATAAGAAAAAATTCCCTGAACTCATTTTCTGGACAAAAAATTGTACTTAAATTAAAAGTAAAACAACGTAAATATAGAATCTCTTGAATTACCCAGTTGAATAATACTAACAAATACTTACGTTAGTATCCCCACAACACCGAAAAATATTTACACATTATGAAGCTAGCTCTCGCCTCGGATAATAGATATACTAATTGGCACGAAGTGTATTAGTGTTTGTTGGGTAGACAAGATCAAACCTTATACTTGTTGTAAAATTAAATAATACCTTTAACAACTTGTATGTGAATGTCGATTTTTGTTGGTTTCGTCAAATATCTCTAGCACATTTCTTGTAACTTTTCTGAACATCTAAAAACGCAGTTACTTTTAATAAATACACTATGTACAAGATTTCTATAAATGATTCTAGAGTCGCAGTAGGTCATGTAAACGTGCCGCCTCTCACATATGAACTGTACTAAATGCCTAAGAAGGCCTGACGAAGACCACACGCATCTGTTTAACTGGTTGCCTGAATGTTTCATATCTTAAAAAAAACTAATTCATTACAATAAAAAGAAACAAATTTATTGCGGTTAAACATCACAGTAAATTTTGAAAATGTACACCATTTTGTTCAAGGCACATGTTCACTCTCGTTTTAATTTTCTATAATCCTTTCGTCAATGTCCATTGTTCAATTTCATGTTGCAACAGGAACTCCTGACTGCTGAGCAAATTGTGTTAAAGATGTTTACGGAACCTGCTGAAGTTGTCTTAAATCATCAACAACTTCCTCAGATACTGAAGGTCTTCCACGAGATTTCTCTTTGTTGACACTGCCAGTTCGAACAAATCTGTTGATTACACGGTTTGCGGTTGATTTTTCGTGTGAATCGTGTGATTGGTGGATGATTGGACATTTGTGATTGGATAATAAATGACATTGTCATAAATGTCAAAGAATTAATGCAGTTTTCTATTACTTAATCTCAACTGATCTCTCTAGGCGTCGTGATTTGTGTTTTCTACCAATGATTTTGAGAAAAGTTATGAATGAGGTTTCCACACCTCCCTTCTACCACCGTGGCTTAGATCAACGAGAATTACTATAATTCACACTTGAAAAACGTTAAAATAATAAAAACGACGATTTTAAATAACAGGTTACAAATGACATTAATGACAAGTGAGAATTGTCATAATGAGGCATAATTTCAGCGACGCGGGATTTTTGAAATCCATGGCCAACTACGAACTAGAATTATTTATAAAAGCCCTGTTTAAGAAAATTAACAAATGGTGTATCTAGACCATCGATATCGTTTTATCTGGGCTATATTCTAAAACCAACTTTTGAATCTTTCGGGGTAACAATGTTGTAGTGATCATTCCCTAAATATTTTTTTTCTACTCCTGTTAAATCATACATGAATTATTAAACTGTTTTTAGTTGGTTAAGGCATTTATAGGTATTACTCACGGGTGACGTCACCAGTGACTAACTGTTAATTTCTCACGGGTGGCGTGGCCAAATCATTATGTTGTGTCAAACTATGCTTTTACACGACCACGGGAACGTGGGATGGAGGTCGCAGATTGCGATGCGATAATAAGGCAGTTATTAAATTGTTGTAGAAAAAGTATAGTTTGTTCTAGCGTCATCATTACCCACTCATTGACTAATATACTATTGTTTTTAGTCGAAAACCTAGTTTATTATTACATATTTTAATCAGAAGAAAATTATATTATGCAAATATGAAAATTTTGTTACACCAACTCTTTATTCTTATTTCTGAATCTAACGCAAGATAACATCACAGAAAGTCCTATACGACAAAAATCGAACCCGTGCCCTATCTCTCCAAATTTTTTTCCTTCTTGCTTCACGTTTACTGCACTGTATACTTAGGTGATCTGGTTACGTAGAATTAAATATTTCGTACATTTCTTTGCAGATAAGTGTTCTCCCCCAGTACCCTATCATCGTGAGTATTTCTATGCACTTTTTTTCACTTAAAGTCACCTTCAGACACAATTAGAAAGTCATTCTTCGGTATTAATAACTGACAGTAAACAAACATTTTTCGTTTATTTTATTTTAGCTCCACGCTTAAAAAATTCAAGTCACAACCAGAAATACAATTTCAAAATCATCTTTGATATTTCAGGACATTAAAAATTAACATAAATAACAACAACTTTGACTTAGTGTTAGATATTATCATGTTAAAGTTGAAAACTCTGATATAATTTTGAAATCTGTTGATGCTTCACAGTTGTCTTGAGAACACTGAATTGGTTTACTTTTTATTGTTACCTAACAACCAACGTTTACTTCCGGATTATTAAAACCAAACATCTAACTAGGTTTTATTTAAAAGAGTAGTGATAGTAAAGATCAAAGACTGCTATGTAAATGTATTATTGGTTGCCTTTCGAATCTTTTACGCCAGAAGCTTTTTGTGAATAACCCTGTATATTTGTACCTACTTAATGAATTTTGACGTTTTATTATCTCATTTAACCTATGATTTCCTGAATGGAATAGGTGTGAAGAATAATAGTATATTATTAACTAAGGTTGTGAAGACAGACATTCTAGACCGAGCGCAAATTAGAACCTGAGACGCGCAGCGTCGAGGGCTCTAAAGTGCGAGGTCTAGAATTGGCTTCACAAACGTGGTTAATATACTATTTTTTCCACTAGTAGCCCATTTGAGGTTTGCGAATTTTCAAAATGTTTTTTCTGAAGTGCATCAATAAAAATGTGTACTCACGTCATTTTAGTAAGCTTTGGAATTTTATTATTTTTTGACAATCCAGAAATGGTCCAGAACTTTTGTTTTAATTTCCTCCATATTTCCCGTTTTTAATAAATTTTTGTGTGAAAAATGTTGTAAAGTGAACCATCATGTACCCCTCCTCATTCCGTCGTACTTACGCGACCGCGACAAATTTGGCTGAAAAAGGTATGGACCTTTTATCGTTAAAGCTACACGGGGAATGGAAATCCTCCAGCATAGCAGAAGGATACAACGACGGCTCGATCTTCAATAAAAAAAAAAAAATCGCCGAAATCGTCCAAAGCTCATCTACGGCAAATCAAGTCAAACCAAATCGGAACCATGATTCAGTTTCAGTCCCGTAAACTTCATTTTCACTCCCATCAACTTCATCAACTTTGTTTCACCAATTTATCCTCAATTTATAATCAATTCAGGGTTTGGAAATCATTCCAGGGCATAATTTAAAAGCAAATTTTCCAAAATGATCGTTTTCAGGTTATGTCTCAGTTTTTCTGACAGTTGTGGACAGTTGTCACATTAGGTGGCCAACTTCACGTTTACATTATTGACCAAGGTTCACAATTTTCCAAATTACAGACCTCTAGACAAGTCGACAATTAGCCATTGTAATGCTACTAGTGGAAAAAGATATTTTTTTTTAATTAGTAATAAAAAAACAAAATTTAGCCCTTGCAAAGAACCAAAAATATCATGAATGAATATTTTATAAAAACATAATTTGGTTGTTTGTTTTATTTATTATTTTATAAAATTCACAGGTTTAATAAAATATTTATTGAAGTAAAAACGTTTTATTATTTTTATACGTAGTTTGGTATCTAAGTAATAAAAGACTAGATTTTCCATCAAAAAATCAATTGTGTCATATCTTTGACATTATTAACAAAGAAAATGTCATCCTTTATTGTATAATACAGTTTACGTAAAATTTACATTGACCTGTTCTAGTGGTTTTGTCAAATTTTTTAATTTATTTATTTCGGACTTTACGAACACGAGAAAATCGATGAAGTCGTTTCAAAAACAATTTAGCAGACAGTATTTGTTATTTATCGGATGCTAAGGTAAATGGTCAAAAGCATATTTTTGTATTTGCATTATACGGTACAGACACATAAAAATGACACACTGCAGAAAATCAACATCGATTTTAGTGGAGCATCTAATGTTTTTATTTGTACAATGAAAATGTGGAAGAGTACAAACACAATTTTTAACAGATATTATACATATAATGTGAAAAATTTGGAAGGTTTTTATCAATGATTTTTAGAAATTAGGACAGATTCCCAATTATAAGTTGCTTTTGTTTCAGAAATCATAGAAAAAGTTAAACGGCCTCCTCCTCTTATACGGCCCTCCGTCAGTAAAGGCGCAGCACCTCCAGAAGCGATAAATATAATGCGTCAATGTTGGGCAGAACAAGCAGAAATGAGACCAGATTTCAATACTGTTCATGATCAGTTTAAGAAATTGAACCACGGCCGAAAAGTAAATATTGTAGACACAATGTTCCAAATGTTGGAAAAATATTCTAACAACTTAGAAGAATTAATAAGGGAACGGACAGAACAATTAGATATTGAAAAGAAAAAAACGGAACAACTTCTAAACAGAATGCTTCCAAGGTAAGAATTTTAATTTAATTCTACGAGTACAACATACACAGGGTCTCAGTGAAAACTTTTGTTGGGAATAACTGACTCAACATTTTTAATAAATCTATAATAATATAACAGTAAATAAATTTATCACAAAAGTTGAAAACCTGTGTGCTTCAATTAATTGACATTAGTTAAAATGTTATGCGGTAAAATGAAATTTAATACACAACCAACGTTTTAAATGCTTCATAAATACAAGTTCAAACGAATGTGTATTTCACTGTTTGTAGATAAATACACTGTTGATAACATTGACACTATTGTCAGTTAATATTAACTACTTTTAATTTATTTGTTTTGGCGAAAATCTACTGTTATGATTTTGTATGTCATACTACTTACTGTGTTAAATAAAGAAAACCTGTTTGACTTTCCATTACATGATTACATTAATATAGAAGCGTTGAGATAAAGGGCTACCGGGTTGGTGGCAGTAACCTTTAGTTATATAACAAACTCATTCAGCGTTTTAAGTATGTAGTAGAAACAAAAACCTACAAAAGGATTAGACCAATACTTGTACACTGACGAGCAAAAAAAAACCGGCCACTCTGAAAAATTTCTCAAAACCACTTTAAAAATTAATTATTAATTTACTAGTGATCGTAATTTTATTAAAGAACCATTCACTATTGACACATGATGTACAAATTAACAAAAAAAAGAAGACAAATAAACGCAGAATTAAATTTAATTTAACACAATAACAAAGACAGACCAAGTACGATATTTTCTTTAAAAAAACAACAATAAAGGAGGCTGTTGTTGTAAACAGTGTTTTTCATTATTTGATTATAAGTTGGGCAATTAATAAACGTTTTCACGCGAAAACAATTTCATTAACTCTTACAGACGTCTCTCAAATTTTCGCTCTGTGTCTGTTATTTTGTTAAATTTAATTTAATTCTAGGTTTATTTGTCTTCTTTTTTGCTAATTTATACATCATGTGTCAATAGCGAATGGTTCTTTAATAAAATAACGATCACTAGTTAAATTAATAATTTTTAAAGTTCGGTTTTGCGAAATTTTTCAGGGTGGGCGTTTTTTTTGCCGGTCAGTGTATAATCCTTGAACGTAAATTCTCATTGAATTGGCTGAAATCTATGTGTCAAACAAAGTGCCCAACCACACAGTTATTATAGAGATATTTTAGCCCTTTGTTTTTCGAAAAAGTTACAGCATAGCCCCAACAAACAGTTTTACTCTAACATCGTGTATATCTCGCAACAAAAATCAAATTAATTAAATGAAAAATTAAAAAAGAAACAGGAATTGTAAAAATAGGGAAATATTTCCTCCGGCCAGTAGCATTCCCGATGACGCCCAGTAGTATTATTGGACGCAGTAAAATTAAGTCCCCTTTATAAAAGCGATGTTAACCTAATTATGTGAAGAAATTTAACAAATCGAGTTCTCAACATCAAGCTTTAATGCGCCATTAAATATTTAATAAGGCATTAACTTCTAATTTGTTTGTATAAACTGATCCCTAAATCTTTCAAAATAACCATTGCCATGAGTGGAAATTACATCACAGAAGCTGGGATAAGCTTCGAGATCAAGAAACTTTCATTTCAGTAAGCTTCAGAGACGCTTCTCTATAATGCTTTGATGTTTAGTGATTAATAAAATTTTGACTATAAAACTCTTACCGATTTGTTGACTCATTATAATTAATTAATAATTCATTTTTAACTGAATCTTAAAGATTTGGGTTATCTCGAACCCAAAAATAATGTAGATTATTAAAATTAACCGACAAATTCACACTGTCGAACTGATAAAAGAAGTGGAAGAATAAGCGTCCAAAGACTTTTACAGAAATCGACAGAACATTCAAAATGTATTTGCAAAAAGTTTGATTTTGATATCATACGAATGTATTGTTATTACTGTAAATTCCTTGTATACTAATTAATTCTTATGTGTATCAAACTTGCCAATAACAATCCAAGGATTAGACCTGTCAGTTGTATCTCTCTGTAACGCATTATTGGTAGGTACTACGTACTTAAAAGCCAAGCAATTTTTTGGTGTCTGTAATAAACAAAACATTAAATATCGAATGAAGACTGGGTTGGACAATTTCAAAAGTTTAGTTATAAGAATCTTCTGTCAAACAATAATTATTCATTTTTGACTTTCCAAATTTAACATTTATTTTGCATTAAAACACATACATTGTTTTTCCCCAACATCCCCTACGTAACATATAGAATTTCTAAAATTTCTCATTTCATTACGGATTGTATAAAACATGTTTTATAAAAATTGTGGACGACATTACAAGCATTACAGCGCTCAAAATGAGACTGAGATATTTTTTTCATAACCGATTCCTTTTTAAGTAAATAAAACGTTCAGCAACTTTTATTAAATTTTCTGCCATAAAAGTTTCTCTCGATAAAATTACAGTTCAGTGGCAGAGAAGTTAAAGTTAGGAATGCCTGTGGACCCGGAAGAATTCGAAGAAGTCACAATTTATTTTTCGGACATCGTGGGTTTTACGACAATATCGGCGCACTCGACCCCTTTTCAGGTGGTCGATCTTCTAAACGATCTTTACACATGTTTCGACGCCACCATCAACGCTTATAACGTCTACAAGGTCGAAACCATCGGTGATGCCTATATGGTGGTTGGAGGACTGCCAGTTCGAGTTCCGGATCACGCCGAACAAGTAAGTTGACGACGATCCGAAGAATTTTACGGTGAGTCGTAGTCAAACTTTGTTGTGGTAGTGGACTGCTCGATGAAATTTTAAAGGCGCTTGCTTTGATCCTTGACATAAAGGCGGTCTTCAAGTTTCTCAATTACAAATTTAGAGTCTTTAAGGCTTTACATAAATTTCGTGAATAATACCGTCAGTCAGGATTCTGCCATAATATTTAATAATTTCAGTAATCATTTTATTTATAGTTGGATTTATCTAAAACGATTATTTGTGCCCAGGGTCAGATTTTCTTGTCAAGGATGTAAAATTTCCGCATAATTTTTTAAATACATATCTAAAAAGTGTGTGTATGAAAGCATTCAGGTGCAATATTTCAGCAGAAATTAGATGTTATTTACTAAAGCAAAATGCAAAACGAATAATAACTTGAGTAACGAACAACCTGTTAAATAAGATGCCCTTAATTTTTTTACTAATATTACCAGATAAAGTAAAAAATTTTAAAAAGTCAATTTGTTTTGGCAATATTTCTAATGTAATGATAAATGACGTATTAGATGTTTTTATCTAAGTATACAGGTATTCCAGATAAAGCGAGCAAGCATATATTTTTTTAAATTGCAATGTAGCAGTGATTATGTATTTAACATCTATACTCACTGGTAGAAGTATGTTTGTTTAAACGGATTTTTATAGATCAATAAATTACGATTACAACGACATAAAATACTAGGTTCCAGTTTACAGAAGTTCAATTAAATATTTAATTGTGATTACCTTTTTATCACTGCGTTCAAGTACCATGTGATGGACTCTACGCCAATCAGACGTCGCTAAAGGCCTCGTTAAATGCGTGATTAACTTAATCTCAATTAAAATATTGTATAAATTGGCCCTTAGGTGCTTACTTCATTTTCCTCCTCAAAACAGAGGACTAAAATTATTACTGTAACCTCATTTGACATACACCTGTTAAAACTTTTATGACTTAAGCGGCTTAAGCCAAAGCAGAAAGATTTATTACTGCCCATTGTTGGCATAATGTAGCTGTGAACTGAGTTAAGTAATACAATAGCCAGTTTGACTTATAAGGGTACTTTGGCTTAAGCCGCTTAAGACATAAAAGTTTTAACAGGTGTATGTCAAATGAGGTTACTTTAATTAAGCGACAATCGAACAAAATGTCCTGAATATTATAATTCTTATTTTATCATTATTCATTATTAAATAAAGAAAAAATGGCTTGACTCGTCTTAATCTGATCAATAAAAAAATTATGACGATGTCATCAAAGTAGCTAATACCTAGTATTATCTTTGACTATCATAACACAAAAGAAAAAAAAAAGAAACGGCCAAGTTTGGCATCGAACGGTTATATCCTCAGTTAGTGGTGAAATTTTATTATACTGTGTTAATTTTTTTTTGCGAAAATTTTGACGTTTAAGTAAAAACTCAACGCTTATTCTTATACCACAAAGAAAGGAGTATATTGTTGTATAACACTTGAAGTGATGTCATCAAATTGTTAGTGGGAATGATTAACCAAATTTTGGTTAGCCCTTTTATCATCTACATGATATTCCTAATATACATACAAAATTTTACAACAATCGGTCCGGTAGTTTCGGAGATTCCGTGTTTAATAAAAATCGACACAGACGACAGTACATGTCGGGGACGGTAGTCTCTATGCCATCGACATGTGATTCCCGTGTCGACTAGTATAAAAGTTTATTAAACGATTTGGGTTTGTTTTCGAAAATGTAGATAAAACCTCAAAACGGATTCATAAACCACAAGACAATGTTGGGAAATAGTTAACTACCTTATGTAACTACATTTTCAACTATTAACTAAAAGATAAGTAGTTGTACTGAGTAAATACTAGTAAGGGTTGTACTAGTTTGTAGTTACGGGAGAGCAACTACTTTCTTCTACTTATAGAATTTGGTAGTTGGATTTTTATAACCACTAACGACAAGTTGGAGAAAGTAGTTGCCCATTCTTAACTACCACCTATTAGTTGTTAGTTAACTACGAAAATAGTTAGTTAACTTCAACTGTTAACTACTTCTAGTTAAAACTAATGCAAATGTTTTATATCATTATACTAATGATCTATCAAAATATGTCAAAAAAATATAATACGATAATTTCGAAAAAATATAGATTTCGTCCACGACGTCGCGCCATACATGCATCATATCGGTAATGTACTAACTAAGCTTTCCCCTTTAATGTAAAAGCAATGACGTTTGCAGAATTTCAACATTTGTATTCGTTCTCAAGATATAAACCCACAGAATTTCAGCTACCTCCAAAATCTACCTGATAACGCTACCGATTTTCTTTTTAAGTCAGCTCACCTGTTAAAGTTGCAGAGTTTCAAATAATCGCTCGTATTCTTATATAAAGAATATTTAGACACATATTACAGGTCAGAGAGCATTTTCGTTCTTTTCCCAACTTTCTACCAGATTTGATCTTATGTTTGATGTGTTTTCTCAGCAAAGATTTACTTTCTAGCTTTCACATGTATTTTAATAGTTTCAGATTCCTATGATATGCTTCAAATATCGTTACTGTTTTACACGTATTTTCCGTAAGTGTTTTGAATAAAATCGTTGTTGCATTTTATATTTCATTTAGAAAATGCAAATACAAAACGTAGAATCCCTTTGGGATGTAAAAAATATCTCAAACTCTTAGAAAATATCCCGGAAAAGACAATCACGAAATATTTAAACACTCGTGAGAAGTGCTTTTTAGATTTGAAAGATTTTTTTACAGAAGATTTATTATTTGAGTTTTAACACTGTAGCCAGGTTCATTCGACTGACTATTTTAAAATTCTTGAGAAAGTTGAAATAGTTGACTAACTAATATTGCGCCTGAAGTGAGGATTTCTATAGTGCTGCGAAGACTCAAAGAAAGTTGCTTAATTAAATTTTAAGCGTTGCTTTGCGAAACTGTAAATATACTTTGCTGCTAAATGAGTGTCCTATGTGTGTTAAAAAATATAGGGAAGCAGCGAAATCGAAACTTTCAAAAACAAAACCACAAGCACCGTAAAAAATTATACACTGATGTTTATACATAGCAAGCCCTGTAGCGTTTGAATTTTTTTTTTTTATATAAAAAAGTAAGTTGAGTGTGATTTTATAAAATTAAACTTGCTTTATTTGCATTTTTAAATTTAAATTCTCTTATTTTGAAGTTGTCATTTAAATAACATGTATATTATAAGGGCTACAGAAAAAACAAACATTAATGCGATTATTTCTTACAGCAGCAACTGTTTTAATGCAGTTTTGTTTCTAAATGCACACGTACGATTTTCACTAAATGTTCACGAAAAATATGTGTTAAAAGAAGTTCTAAGGGTTTGACTATTTTTAGATGATACACGTTGCATATCTTTTTTAATAATGGAAGATTTATTACCACGCATGTTTACCCGCAGTTCAATGACTGTCCGAACTTCAAAAGGTGCGTTTGTAAAACATTCTTAAACGAGAACGTTTCAGGCAGCAAATTTAATGGCAAAAGCGTACAAAGCACAGGGTGCTTGTTCTTCAGATCTAGAGAAATCCGTTCAGGGGAGAGCTTCATTAAAACACTGCAGATAATTTCTATGTATAAGTTATCGTCTGCTATGCCCTACTTGAACAGAATTTCATTTGGGGGATTCATGAAAAATTACAATATTGAGAGGTGTTCATAATAAAGTCAGTTCAAAATTTCTTTAAATTAAGCTTTATGTGTGGAGTTTTTTAATTCATCCACGTCTGTTGTCATTTTTTGTAAAAATCGATAGTTCAATGTTTAGTACAAACAGAAAAATATGTTATCGTTTGTGTTAGGTCTTGTGGGAATTATTGAACAGATGAGCCTCTTAATGTTTCGGGTATTCGGGCCCGTGGGATCTCCAAGCCCTACAAGGCGCCGCCAGTGCTTTTAAATCCGGTCCTGTGCGTGCTCTACATTTTTTATTAGTTAGAAACTCGTGGGTATCAGGACTTCACTACATTAGTGAAGGCTTGATACCCACGAGCCTCTACCAAATGTATGTAAAACTTCTGCGGTATAAATAACGACACCATTTATTACTGGTTTTATTTTTTAAGCTTCATATTTTCCCCCTTTATCGTTTGAACCAATATTGTAAATTTGCAGTAGAGGAAAATACTGACAAAAATTGCATTAGATCGATATTTAGATTCTTAATTTTGACAGAGTTATTATTAACTTATAATGTTCTCGTGCGGCAACTATGTGAACGACCACTGCAAAATATGGATAAATTTACTTTCAACTTTAATAGAGCTACATATATATTCAAATTCCGGTAAAGATTTTAAAGAAATACTTTAATTATAACGGTGAATAAAGAGTAAAAAATTGGTCTAAAGAGTTTAGACAGTACTTCCCTCGCTGTCGGAAACTTGACGACTGCATGCCTATTGTGTTTTTTTTCTCATTACATTTTTGTAGTGGGAATTTAAAAAAAAATTGCGATGACGTCATCAACATTTTTGCAAGGACACGTATATCAGTTGGGATAGATGTAGTGTAATACTAAGAATAAAATTATTATATTCTCAAATTTTCGGAAAATGAATTGGGTCGTTTGAATATTGATTTGTAATAATCAATAAAATAACGAAACAATTTACTCACGTATACCTACGTATCAGAGGCAACTGAAAATCGTGTATGTATAAACATTGTTAATTTAAGATGACAGGCGTAACAGCATACGTGAGAGCCAAACACAGAAACTGTAAACAAAACGACCGTCGGTTTTATTGCTTCGACTTCCGCTTATTATATAAAACATTGGGTTTTATTTTAATTCTTGACGGTGAAATTCACAATTGGTTGATTATAAACATGTCTATTTCACATTCGCGGAATCAAGTGAACGCATAAAACAAATGCAGGTCTGTAATGTTAAAGTCGATGTAAATAAGCGTGCTACCCTTATGTTTCAACCGAGTTTTT